AATGCAATTCCTATCAAACTACCTAGGGCATTTTTCACAAAAATAGAAAATATAATCCTAAAATTTATATGGAACCATAAAAGACCCCAAATAGCCACAGCAATCCCGAGAAATAAGAACAAAGTTGGGGGTATCATGCTGCCAGACATCAAAACTTACTACAAGGCTACAGTAATCAAAACAGTATGGTACTGGTATAAAAACAGGCACATAGATCAATGGAACAGAATAGAGAGCCCAGAAATAAAACCATGCATATACGGACAGTTACCCTATGACAATGGAAGCAAGAATTTACATTGGGGTAAAGACAGTCTATTTAATAAATGGTGCTAGAAAAATTGGACTGACACATGCAAAAAAAATGAAACTGGACCACCTCCTTATGCCATATACAAGAACAAATTCAAAATGGATTAAAGACTTAAATTTATGACCTGAAACCATAAAACTCCTAGAAGAAAATACAGGGAGTAAACTTGCAGACATTACCCTGAGCAATATTTTTACTGATACATCCCCGCGGGCAAGGGAAGTAAAAGAAAAAATGAACATATGGGATTACATCAAACTTAAAAGTTTTTTCACAATAAAGGAAACCTTCAATAAATCAAAAAGAAAGCCTACTGAATTGGAGAAGATATTTGCCAACGATATATCTGATAAGGGGTTAATATCCAAAATTTATAAAACACTCATGCAACTCAACACCAAAAAAACCAAACAACCCAATTAAAAAATGGCAGAGGATATGAAAAGCTATTTCTCTGAAGACGACATACAGATGGCCAACAGGCATATGAAAAAATGCTCAACCTCACCAATCATTAGGGAAATGCAAATAAAAACCACAATGAGATACCACCTTACCCCGATCAGAATGGCTATCATCAATAAATCAACAAACAACAAGTGCTGGCGAGGTTGTGGGGAAAAGGAAACTCTGTTGCACTGTTGGTGGGATTACAGATTGGCGCAGCCACTATGGAAATCAGTATGGGAGGTATCTCAAAAAACTGGAAATGGAACTACCTTACGACCAAGCAATTCCACTCTTGGGTATTTATCCAGAAAAACCCAAGACACTAATTCGAAAAAACATATGCACCCCTATGTTCATTGTGGCGCTATTTACAATAGCCAAGACTTGGAAACAACCAAAATGCTCATCGGTAGACGACTGGATTAAGAAACTAAGACAGAAATCGTACCATTTGCAACGATATGGATGGACCTAGAGAACATTATGCTAAGTAAAATAATTCAGTCAGAGAAAGACAAATACCATATGATCTCACTTACATGTGGATTCTAAAGAACTGAATAAATGAGTAACGTAAACAGAAATAGTCTCAGGGACACAGAGGAAAAACTGAGGGTTGCTAGTTGGGAGGGAGTGGGGATGAAGGAGAAGGGACGAGACTATGTTGTCCCTAATTGGTAACTACAGTATGGCATCAGGGATAGAAAAGACAGTCTGGGGAATATAATCAACAATGTTGTAAATATTTTTTAGGGGGCCAGATGAACTCATGTCTAAGTAAGGGAGACCACTTCATAGGCAGTGTAGAAGCCTGACCACCGCACTGTACATCTGAAGCTGTCATTGAATAATATTATATGTCAACTATAATTTAATACATATATAGTCATGGGATGTGGAGTAGAGTGTGGGAATGGAGTCAATGGAATTGTAATAGATATGTATGATGATATCGGGGGTGGGGAGGCAGTGGGGGTTGTCACTTTGTGAGGGGTGAAAAGGATAACTACTGCATTGTTTTGTACACCTGAAACTATAATAATAAAAAATAAATAAAAATAAATAAAAATTTAAAAAGCAGGGCTGGGGGCATGACCTGCTTTGCTCTCCTTTCACTTTCATGAAGACTAGTGCTTTTGAAAGGTAGCAAGAGAGCAACAAATGATTATGTCTCGACTAAACAAGCAAATTTTTCAAAAACCTCTAAAAGAAATCTTATATCAGTTTATATTGTCTTGGACACTTAAAAAAGAAGTGCTTAGCTGCTTTATAAACGTTTTCTCATCCAATCCTTAAAACAGTCCTAAAAATTAGATAGTCCTTCGACACCCCCTGACACACACATTCAGGCTCACATATACACATTGCATATGTCAGGAAACTGGGGCTTAGAAAAAGAAAAATCAAGGTTACACAGATAGTAAGTAGCTATACAGCTAGCAGGTGGCAGAACTTAACTTACATTTTATTATAAAAGAAAATCAATTACTTCAATCTACCATATCAGAACTCATGACTTCCATTGCCAAACAATTCTAAACCAGCGTTACCTTCTATGGCAGGGCTATACTGAGACATCACATTACTGGCCAGTGTTGGTAAAGACACTGCCACGAACACCATGAGGAGGCAGGCGATTTTATATTCTTCTTCTGGACTTATGTTTTCTAAGGGAGAAAGATGAAAAATAAAACCAAGGTATTTCTTCAAGATTAGTTAAGAGTTGATAACCAAAACCAGAAAAGGCAAATTTTAATTTTTGTATAAGGCATTTTACCAAGACTCTACAGAGCTACTCACAATTTTTTTAAAAGAAATATAAAATAAATAGAATAATATATATTACTATTGACTATTGATTACTCGGCATATCTCAAGGACCACTAGTATTTTTCTTTGTTTTCCTTTTTTTAATTGCAAGATGATAGAGCAAGAAAATATAACTAGAATAACTGGAATCCTAAAATTTCCTACTTAAACGCTGATGATAAAATTATTTTACAAGAAAATTCTATTTATAACAGCTTAGAGATTTATTATCTCATAAATTACTCTGTACAATCATCCAAAAAATCCTTAAATTTTTCTAAAATAGATATGAATATAATTTAAAATTTACTATTTAAAAGATATAAATGTGTAAAGTGGACTGCATTTTCAACCTCTCCATTTTAGAAGGCAGAAGGAACCAGTCACATATGAAAATAACTACCATTGCCCTAAGGCTTTTAAGATATAATCCTTTCTAAAATATTTATTTATTTGTACTGTACTAAAATTGTGGGTTATCTAGTACCTGGGAACTTCTATTTATCCTACTATTTACCACCAAATGTAACTAAGAATTGAATCTAAGAGTCAAAATATGTTTTTAAAATTTGGTTGATTATGAAATATATGGGGTGACTGGTCAGCTCAGTTGGTTAGAGAGTGGTGCTGACAACACCAAGGTTGCCGGTTCAATCTCTGCATGGGCCACTGTGAGTTGTGCCCTCCTTTACTCTAAAAAGAGTCAATTATTCCACAGTATTATGAAAGCAATGTGTAACCAATGACCATAGCTATGGCCCCCCAAAATAAAATAAAAATAACAAAGAAATATATAGCTGTAGCAAATTAGGTAATCGTAGTAATTATCCATGTGGCTATAATTAACATACTGCATGAATGATAAAAAGTAATGTTAAATCAAAAAAGAACTGATGAACTCAGTCAAACACCATGCTACAGCAAAGGGCTAGAGGAGGGCATTTTAGTACCAGAAACAGATGAAATGTTATTTACTTTGTAGACAAACCTAGAAGTAGCTAGAGCATTCTAGATATTACATTTCAAAGGGCTGGCCTAAAACCTTTTAAATGTTAAGTATTACATAATAATGCACACACTTTATGGTAAATAGCTCTAGTCCAATTAAAATTAGGCTTTATTTCCCCACCTGAAAAATAGCTTTCTCTTGATTTTATGCATGCCTCAGGCTACTATAATTTTATTTCTTTGCTCCTCTTTACAGCAAAACTCTTTGAGTTGTTTTATACTTATTATCTCCAATTCCTTTTCTCCTATTCTCTCTTAAGTCCTCTCTAAGTAGCCTGTGTCTTAGAAACGCCACTGATACTGCTCTTGTCGGCATCACCCATTAATGCTACATGGCTGATCATTCTTTTTCCCCTTTCCTGGAAGCTACTCTTTCCCTTTTTGGTAGTTTTTCCTCTTCTCCCTGAGCACTTAAAAGTTGAGAATGTCCCAGGACTCAGACTGTGATTCTCTTCATTTCTGCATCTACACTAAATGGATTTACTAATCTCATCCAATCTTATGGCTTAAATGATCTAATCTGCATGATGACTGTGCTGTAACACAAGCTCCAAAGACAGGAATCTTTGTCTTTTCTCACTGATATATTCTACCTACCAAAAAAAGAAAAAAGCTTGACATAACGTAGACATTTAAATAAACAGGTAAGTATCTGTATTCACATCTATATTTGTGCTGCACTGGTAATTTTAACTAAGATTACTACATATTTACTAATGCATTTTACCTGATTTTTGTGAGGAAAGAGCTACGACCAAGGCGGGATCAATCTCGCAAGGTAATCCAGCAGCTGATGATAATTCATAGACATTCATTGCAACCTGATAAAAAACATAAAAATAAAAGAGCAAGAAATATTCTAATAAATTTCTGAGAACTCGCACTTCAGTAAGAAAAAGACAGAGTTGGATTATAAAAATACTAGAGAATTTTGGAACCTGCCTGAAGCAAGAACTACTGCACAACTAACCTACATTGAATATATGATTTAGTACTTTGTGATGTGCTGCTGGTTATAACTTCCTGATGTTAGACCAAACAAAACTTGTACATTTTTTGTGGCAAATCCCAACAGAATCATTCTAAAGTTATTATTTGTCTTGGAAGCATGAAGGTAAAATATCAAGACAAAGGAGATAAATAAATGAACAAAAGTGAATAAAAATTACTGGACTTATACTTACGTTCATACTTGTTTCACAAAACATTATAGTGGCCTAATCATACTTATAAATATGGCATATTACTTATCATAATAGATTGTTTTTAGGGAGTAATGATTTAAAATCTGATAAATAAATTTCTAATGACTAAAGTAATAATTGCCATGGGTTAAGATCTAGATAATCATTTGTGATCCATTACTTACTCTAACCACAAAAATTAACTCGAAATGGAGCATAGCTCTAAACACAGGTGCTAAAACTATAAAATACTTAGAAGAAAATATAGGCATAAACCTTTATGACTTTGGATTAGGCAATGGTTTCCTAGATAGAGGCAACAATGGAAAAAAATAGATAAACTGGACTTCTTGAAATTAAAAACTTTTGTGCTTCAGAAGACACTGTGAATAAAATGAAAAAACAACCACTGGAATGGAAGAGATGATCTGCAAATTACGTATTTATTAATGGACTTGTATTAGAATATATAAAGAACTCTTTTATCTCAAAATTAAAAAGGCAATCAACCCAATTAAAAAATGAGCAAAAAAATCTGAATAGACAATTCTCCAAAGAAAACATACAAATAGCCAGTAAACACATGAAAAGATTTTTAACATAATTTGCCATCGGGAAAAGACAAACCCAAACAATGAGATTTCATACACATAGTGTGTGCCATTTCATACACACTAGACTAGCTATAATTAAGATAGATAACAACAAGTATTGACGAGGATATAAAGAAATTGAAACCGTCATACACTGCTGGTGGGAATGCAAAATGGTACAGCCACTTCAAAAACAATTTGGTAGTTTCTCAAAAGGGTAAACATAGAATTTCCACATGACCCATCAATTCCACTCCTGAGATATACCCAAGGGAAATGAAAGCATGTGTCCACAGAAAAACGTTTACGTGGATATTCATAGTAGCATTATTTATAATAGCCAAAAAGTAAAAATAACCCAATCCTATCAATTAATAAATGAAAAATAAGATGTGGGATATATCCATACAATGTAATATTATTTGGCAATAAAAAATGAAGTAATGATACACTACACATGAATAAACCTAGAAAACATTATGCTAAGTGAAAGAAGCCAGTGTCAGAAGACTAGATATTGTATGACTTATATGAAATAACAAGAATAGGCAAACCTATAGAGATAGAAAGTAAATTAGTGATTGTCTAGGGCTGGGGAATGGGAAGAAATGGGGAATGACAGCTAAAAGGTAAAAGGTTTCTTTTTAGGGTGATGGAAATGTTCTAAAATTGACTGGTAATAGTTGGACAACTCTGTAACTATATTAAGATCCACTGAATTGTATACTTTAAATGAGTTGATTTTATTATGGTTTAATTATATCTCAATAAAACAATTAACAAACATGTTTGGTTTTTTGTTATTATTTGTTTAGCTGAGCCATCCTGCCACCTGTTGGTAGCTCAGCTGCAGCTCAGCTCGGACTGGGACTCAAACCGCTGTTGCTCAGAGCTCGCACTCTTGAGTGAGCTCTTAACCAACTGAGCCACTCGGCCGGCCCTGGTTTTTACAAAAGTAGTAGGTTCTGTTAAAAGTTTGCTGGAACAAAATATTATGATGTCTGGTGCTAAGAGAATTGGATGGTTGCTCAGAATTTTAATTGCTATTCTCATAATCTGCACACTATTGTCTTCTCAAGGACTAATTCGTTTTTAATGTCTCTTAACTTCTTTTTTCCTACAGTGTTTCTACTTACGAAATAGTTTTGCACTATTCATAGTTTTCAATCATAAAATCATAGGAAATCACTGCCTCAAATATTCATTGTCTGCAAAGCATTGTCAGAGAAAAGAAAATAAAGAAAGGTAGGTCTTGGTCTTCACAAGAATAAATTTAAGTGGAAAAACAAATGTATAATGCATGGCAGAATGCATTTAATTATACAATGAATAAACAAAGTTTTCTGATAACACTAAGAAAAAATCTTTATCATCACTGGGGGTATCAAGGAATGCATTTTTGGTGGCACTGAATCGGGCTGTAAAAGATAAGCAGGATTTTAAAAGGCAAGAAATAGAAAACGGCAGGATTTTCAGGTATTATAGAATGAATTAAGAGGACAAAACATGGATGTGAAAATGCACACAGAAAGATGTGGTTATCTCACAGATGTACATGAAGAGAGGGATAGAGAAAGAAAGGGGAGAGAGTGGGAGAAGGATGGAAAAAGCAATGGAAGATAAGTCTTAAAATAAACGTTTGAGTGGCATCAATTTGACAAGAGACCTGAGTGTCATACAAAAGAAAAAAGACATAACTTTTTCCAATATGTGCTTTTAGAAATTTTCAAAACAGAAAATAATCACTCCAAAACATATGAAAGCTTGGAAAACATAAATTTGAGCCCTGATATGGTAAATCATCGCTGGCATTGGTTAGATTTCATGATCATTAAATTTTCAAAACAAAAATTGTGGACTCGTATCAACTTTCTTTTTATTTATTAATTAAAAACAGAATATTAAAAAAATTTTTTAAATTATATAGCCTATAAGTAACATCCTTTGATAAGATTTTTTAAACATCAATTTAAAAAACTGAATTTAAGGCCGGCCAAGTGGCGCGTTGGTTAAGAGTTGTCTTGGGACTCCAACACTGAGCAGCAGAACCCCGGTTCGTATCTCACATGAGGGCCAGTAACGCTGTGCCCTCTACAGCTAAGATGGTGAACAACAGCTCAACCTGGAGCTGGGCTGCTGTGAAGTCGCCGGTGACGGCATAGGCTGCAGCCTCTGCTGCAGTGAGCTGCCATAAAGCTACCATGAGTGGCTGGCAGCCAGCGTGAGCGGCTGGCAGCCTCGAGAGATGCCGTGAGCCACTGTGAGCAGCTGTCCAGTGGCCAGTGACCGATCTGCCTCACCCGGAAAGAGCGCAATGATAATACCAATATGGGCCAGTGAAGCGACATCCTCTACAACTAGATTGAAGAACAAAAGGACAGCAACTTGTCTGTTCCCTTTCCCCATTCCCCAACGCTGTTCCCTTCCCCTAATTCCCCAATAAAAAATCTTTAAAAAACAGAACCAAAAAACTGAATTTACCTCTATTTAAAATAAAACTACTCTTATATCACTGGCTCATCTGTCTCATTCTGCTTATGACCATGTATAAACAACTATAAGTTTAAGGAAAAAAATATTAGCATCAACCCATTTTATGTTGCTATAGATGACCAAGGAAGACTGGCTTTCAAAATTGCCTATGTGGTATTTTGGTTCTGAGGTATTTTGGTTCAAAGATGCATTTTCAAAGGCAGCATGCTAACTGATCACTCTAAAATTGAAATTTTACAGTATAGGACTTATTAAATTTTATTTTATGTTTAATTTAAATATTTCATTTTAGAAATTGTAAAATCCTAATAGAAGTTTTTATTACCTTCATATCAGTTTCCCTTGGAATGTGATCCTTGAAATCTTCAATTGAACTTACAAGAAAAGGAATGTGGTAGGACAAGACCTAGGCAGGACAACAAATAAGAAAAGTAGAATTATATTTAAATGGCAACCTCTAAATTCATGAACTATTACCACTCAATTCTATTTTTCACAAAAAATATTTAATTTTATTTTCATGTGATTTTCTAAAGTACTAAGATACACAGAAATGGAATGTATTCAATGCTAAACAGTACAGTCAAAATAAAAAATACATTAATGAAGAGTAAAATTGAAAAAGTAGTGCAATATTCAGGCAAGTTATACCCCCTGAATTTCAAATACCAAAACAAAAATAAGTTTAAATACCTTTAATTTCTATGTACTTTATTTTATATAGCTATGAAAACTGGAATCTTAATTATATCACTGCCAACTATAAATTTAAAAAGTAGTAACTTCTGGGAAATGAAAATGGATTATTTGGGTACAGGATATGTACTTATAATAGTTTCTTACATCTCTAAGTGCTTCTTGTGCCAATGAGCGGAAGGATAAAATTACACCAATTATTGTCATCCTCTTCAAGACACTGTCAACAGCTAAATTTGAAGAAAGGAGAAGAAAAGAGTGTGAATTGGATTCTTTGTTAACCTTGGAGAAAACTCTTAGTCATAAAATTCCCATGATAAAAGGCACAACTAAAAGCAATTTATCAGAACAAATGATTAAAGAGGCAAATGTATTAAAAGCTGACATTAAAATTAAGAAAATTATAGTTCGTTTCAAATGCAGTACACTCTATTCTTTAAAATGGTTTAGAATCTAAACTTTAGATGGTTCACCAGAATCTTGAAACAATCACATAGGTAGCCAACTGTATAATCCTCTATCAGAAATGGGAGAGGTAGGAGGAAAGAGAGAGACTAGGGGGAGAAAAGAGGAAGCTGATCAGATTGGATATGAGTTAAATGCTCAAATGACCCTGAGCCTTAAGATGCTGAATTCTTAAGTTGCTGAGGTCTGGAGAATCCAGAAGCAAAACATGACTACTGAGATCACAAGCAGTTTTGGAAAGACTAGGTTGATAATAATTATGAATGGATTTGATCACTTACATTTTGGGTATAGGGCATTTTTACTGGAAATTATTACTTGGTTAACAAATTCAAGGGAGATTAGAATTAAAAGGATCAATACCATCATATTTTGAAAAGCCAACAAACATTTATTGAATTACTCCCCATATACAAGGCATAGACTATATAAGAATACAAATAAACAGAATAATAATCTAGACCTTAAGGAACAGTCTAAGTGAACTGTCAAGAAAACTGAGAAAATATGATCCTGTTTATGTGAGAAAAAGATATGTATTTGTACACACATAACAAATTTCTAGAAAGATGTATAGAAAACTGTTAAGTATAGTTACCTTTGGAGAGTAGAACTGCTGAGAATTGTCTTATTAGAAAGTAATTTCTACCTCCTGTATATTTTGTTTAAACCTTTATGATGAGTATCTTTTATTAAAACACATGAACAGCCTAATATAGGCTAAAATGTGATGAGAAAGTATTGGGTTGTCGGAAAAGTCATGACACATTTTTGCAACAAAAAACAGAAAAAATACATCATGACTTTTCCAACAATACAACAGTAGTGCTAAAAAAATTATAAGACACAAGTATGTTATAAATTCCATATGAGCAGGAACCAGTCTTATTTATTAATCTTTTTATCAATCTCTTGCTCTCAGCGGAGTGCCTGAGACCCAAAATATGAGAAGATGTTCAATGGTTATTCAAGAAATGATACTAGGAAATTATTACTGTGAAGAAAAGGAAAAAAGAAATGAGGGTGAAAGGAAAAGATTTCTCTGAGAAAATGTCATCCAAGCTGGGCATAAAGGATTAAGAAGAGGGGCATTCCAAGCGAGAAAACAAAGTAGCAAACCCAGAAAAAGGAATGGCAGAGAATAAGGTGAATAATCAGAAAATAAGCAGTGTGATATATACTTTCCAAGAATTTTGTTATCCAGAATTTAATCAAATAAATATGCTAAAACTATCTCTCACAACCTCCTCTTGAATATGTACAACAATAATGCCACATTAAAAGTTCTGAGAAGCTTCACAGTAAGAAATCTTCTTTAACTTATTGTTTAAAGGGTTATTTCCAAACCTATTTGACCATGGGCACCTCTCCTCATCCCCCATGATTTTCATTATCATCCTGCTATGTTCTGAATGTCTGTCCCCCCACAAAATCCATATGTTAAAATTCTAAGCCCCAAAGATGCTGGTATTAGGAGATGAGGCCTTTAGAAGGTGCTTAAGCCATGAGGGGTGGAGCCCTCAAGAATTCAATTAGGCCTTAAAAGAGGCTCCAGAGAGATCCAAGCCCCTTTCATCATGTAACATTACAATAAGAAGTCTGCAATCCCGAATAGAGCCCTCACCCAGCCATGTTGGCACTATGGTTTGGACTTCCAGAACTGTGAGAAACAAATCTCTGTTTACAAAGAGATTTTACAAACTACCTTGTCTGTGACATTTTGTTATAAGAGCCCAAATGGACTAAGAAACATCCAAAGAAACTAATAATACTAGAGCAGTGGCTACATGGGCCTGGGCCAGGCAAGCAAAAGGCAGTAACGGGGAAAAGCAGGGGCAAGAATGGCTGGCTGTGAAGTTAATCCAAATGTCTTTTGAATGCCATGCTAAGGCGTTTACACTATTCTTTAAGCAATGAGGGGGTTGTTTAGGGTTTTCAAAATATAGAGTGATCTGAAAAGAAGTATTTAAAAATTTGACTCTGAATGTGGGAGACAGATTAGAAAGAGAGAACTTACTACTGCATGTTAGGAAGCCATGACTACAGTTCACCAACGATAATGCCTTAGGAGAGACAGGAAGAAATCTGGGATTTAAGAGGTTGGGTGAAGTAGGAGTTACAAGTTCAAACACCTACAGCAGGTAACATAAAACAGTGAAGGAAACAAGGTAAAAGACAGGGCAGTGAGTGGGAAAGACGAGAGAAAAAATTTTGAAGGGGGCAACTGCAACTCAGCTGCAGACACGTGGGGAAACATTGCCCAGATTTATTTTTGGTGGAGGGAAACCAGATGTTTGGATTTTTATGCAAAATACCATTTAAAAAATTATGTCAAAAAAAAAAATTTTTTTTTTCATTTAATACAGCATAGGGCCAAACAAAGCACATTTTGGGGCCAAATGTGACCCATCAATTTGCAAATTCTGATCTGCAAGATACAGCTATTAGATGTAGAATATGACAGAAAGAATACAGGAGGACACCCAAGTTTTCTTGTGTGAGTCACTAGGTAGATGGCAAGGCACGTAATGAAATGGTCAATAAAGACAGAAAATCAGGCATTTCTCCCCACCCACTTACACCTCTCATGAGGGGACGATTCTTCCTGTTCCAGAGATGTTGTGAATTATCAGGGGGCCACATACCTGAAGATGTCTACCAGTGTTTCTCAATCTTTAGTGCAAATTAGAATCACCTACTGGGCCCGAGCAATGTGATTCAGTAGGTCTGGCTGGGGTGGGACACAATAATTTATATTCTTAACAAGTTTCTAGGTGATGCGGTTGCTTGTTGTTTTTGGTCCACCTACCATACTTTGAGAACTTGTGGTCAAACTTAGCACTTGGGTATTAAAGATCTGGAGCTCAAGAGAAAAGAATCAAGGCTGGGATGAATATTTAAGACATATTGATAAATAAGACTAGATATATTTTCCCAATAAGATTACAGACCAATGACTAAAAAAAAAAAAAAAAAATAGAGGTAAAAGTATTGGCATATGAAGAGAAAAAAACAAACAAAAAGGAGAATAAAAGAGATAAACACTACAGAGAAATCAAGTAGAATAAGAGGAGGAAAGGGGGTAAAGTAGCCATATTATAGTGCATTGAGAGTACTGGGAAGACGAAACCGTGAATTCGAGCCAGTTAAAAAGCTTAGCAATAGGAAGCATGGTGGGATGAATAAGAGGCAGATTTAACAACAGACTTCACAAGTGTCATTTCACAAGCAGTACCTGGCATCCAGGGAGTAGAAGACTTCCCAATCAGTGAAATTGCTTGGGATGATGAATGAAGCAAAGTCAAGTATGACAGTACAGAGGAGGAAGCAATTAAAATCACTAATCAAATTTTAAAGTCCAGAATAGATAAGTAAAGCCAGCAAGAGGCTGATTAGAAACTAGAGAAACAACAAAGTTTCAATGAGCTAGAAAAAGTTTAATAGAAGTGAAGGACATGAATACTGTCTGAGAGTGGAGTTTCAAATTCAAGACTTTACCATGCGACAATTTTAGGTGATAACATCCAAAAGTAAAGTAAAGGTATTTGGAGGCAACTTGTAGGTTTGTAGATGGTGGCAAAGTCAGGGCAAAAGTGAGCGGAATGAGTTTTTAAAAGGAAGAATTACTATTAATAAAACACAAAAATAAAAGTCTGGAATATGGGAGCCAGTAAAATGATGAACCTAGCTAGCCCCAAGAAACAGTGTCAGAGAATAGAATGTAAGAAATAGGGACGTTACTAAATTTGCTCGTCACATCGTTAGAAAGCCTAAAACCAAAAATTAATTTCAGATTGACTCATAATTCAGAAATACTTTTAATAAATTACACTGCTTTTTCTTTTTAAGGGTATTTAAAAGAGCATGTATGTTGACTGTGAAAATCAAACTTACAAAAGTACATCAACTTCTGGATATGGGGTGAAGGAAGCACAAAGGTAAAGATCAGAGACAAAAGATAAACAGTTCAACTGAAAGAGTAGCTTTCTGTTTCCCTAAATAAGCCACTATCGGAGTAGATCTTTTTTTCCATATTATACACACAAAAAAAAGATTGAATAAATTCATTTAAAGACAAATTTGATATATAGGTCATTAGTACTCAACAATTTAGATTTTGATTTTGGCCAATTCAACAAGTCATGAATCACCACTATTATACACAAAATTCAAATAAACAATCTAGATAAAGGATTATGAACTTTATTTTGAAAATCTGCAAATTCTGCTTGGAATTCTAACAAATTCTATTTTGTTTCAATTCCACAAATAGGAGAGTTAAATTAAGAGTAAAGAGGCAGTGGATTAGTTGTTTCTAACTAGATGATATGGTCAAATGCTGTTTATTAGTAGAAGTTAACTAGGGTTAAGGCTAGTTGGGTGGTCAAATGAGTATTAAAAAACAGGAGAAACATGAAACAAATAATAAAGAAAAAAAAGACTAGAAAATATAAGTATATAGTAAAGCAATGAACAAAAGAGATCAGGTAGATATTTAGTAATTTCTACTATTCATTCACACTCCTTCCTATATGCTACCAAGTCAATCTTTTCTTTTTCATTTCCTTAATTTCATTTTTTAAAGTACCATACAGTAAACCTGATCTTTTTTCACCCTTTAGGTGTATAGCTCTAGGAAAAATGTTTTAACTATGTGTAAATTTGTATTACTACAATCACCGCTATAGTAAATAGTTTCATCGCCCCCCAAAACTCCTTCATTGCATTCCCATTATATTTCTGGAAACCACTGATCTGTTCTACAAGGCAACCTGTAGTATAATTTTATACTAATTTGTATTAAGTAAGTTTATAATTTTTAAAGCAGAGTAAGATAGCCTAATAAAGTGATCCTCAATGAATCAGAAGTATGACTTTAAAACAGTTTCTAATTATAACTGAGTTCAATTACAAAAAGCATCTGAAAATAAAATTAACTAAAATAGTTAACAGGCTAAACACACTTTAATAAATATTTAAGATTCACTGTTATGTCACAATATACCTCCTACAAAGAATCAATGTCAAGAAGACATTAAAAAGAAGTATTTTTTGAGTTGTAGGCTCAGGTTCATGCAATGAATACTAGTTAGCAATAAAAAGGAAAAAAATTACTTATTCACTTAACACAGATGGGCGAATCTGAAAAATATGCTAAGTAAAAGAAGTCAGACACAAAAGAGTATATATACTGTGTGATTACATTTATATGAAGTTCTAGAAGAGTAAATTTAGTCTTTAATGATAGAAATCACATAAGTCATTGTCTGGGTTTGGGGGCTAGGAGTGAGAAATTGACTAAAAAGGAACATGAGGAAACTTTCTGAGGTGAGGGAACTGCTCTGTATGCCCAGTGGTAACTGTTACATGAATGTATACATTTGTCAAAATCCATCACACAGTTCACTTAAATGTGTGCATTTTATTATATGTAAATTATACCTTAATCAAGTTGATTTTTAGAAAGTTACAGACTCACAAGTTAATTCTCCTTTAGTCTAAATTTATATAGATTTACTGCATTAAATTTAATGGGTTCATTAACTTATAATATTCATTAAATATTTGATACATGGTACTAAGAGTATGGTAAAAAAATTGTGAAACAGATACTTAAGAGATGCTTTGGCTATAAAATTTTTCTAGTTCTCTTCATAAACTAAAGAGTACTATTCATAATTTACTACTTATATTTGTATTTACAAATTTTGAGCAAAAACTAAATACTGAGTGTCAAGGTCTTCTTAACGCTTATAAAAAGTATCATGAGTTACCCACATGATAATCTTTTAAAGAGTGCAGCCATCTGGTCTGGTTTGTCAAAGCTGGTCCTCATTTGTGTCAGCACATCAACATTCTCCACCACAAGTTTCTAAAAAAAAAAAAGAAAGAAAGATCCTAGATCAGCCTTAGACCCCCTGGTGTTAATGAGATAAGAGCACGCTTTGGAAATTACAGTCTGGCAAGTAGGAAATACAATTCATGAAATCCAGATGCTCTATGCGATATATTTTTGTTGTTGTAATAAAATAATCTAAAAATTATTTACATAGGCTTAATGTTTTCTTTAGTTTGCAAATTCAGGAAGAGAGGAGTTCAGGAAATAGCAATAAAGATAAATAGGATAACGAATTATCTTATGCTTAGACACAGAACAACATCAATAATAAAAAGCAGACACGGAAGTGGATAAAGAGTAATAAATTCCAACCAAAACAAAAGAACTTGCTGAAGTTAAAGCTGACCAAAGATAGTCTAGAGTTCACTGCTGGTTATATTCAATCACAGGGAGAATAATTTATTGGGGTATATTGTATCACTTCATGGGGATTATAATAGAGCAATGTTTCCCAACATAAATTATCAAATGGAATCAACTATCTACCTTCTCTTTCAGGGACCATTGAGAAAAGGGAACAAAAAGAAAAGGATACAAATAAGTGATGGGAGTGAAATGTAACTATTTAAGAAAAGTATAACTCATGAAAGAATGTTTTTCTTAAAAGGAACATTGGAAAAGTAATTTAATTTAAAAATTATAACTAAAACAAATGTAATTAATTGGATTCTGGCAGAGATAATACATGTATGTATTTGGAAAGCCTGGATACACGTATTTGAAATATCCAGGGAGGAAGCCTGGATTTGGATATATGTAATTCTAAATACATATACCCAGGCTTCATCTCTGCATATGCAATTCGGCAGGCCTGAGTGCAAAGATATAGCAAAAACACAGTGGTTTTGTTATTAGCCAGAGGTTAATAACAATGGATTCAAAGAGAGCATGAAAAACTATATAGAAAACTGATAAAAATAATTTTTCAAAGTATGAATTTAGTTTAGGCTACTTGATATTACTTCAGGTTATTTCTCTTTATGCTCCCAATCAAATGTTCAGCTCCAGTCACATTTATTTGCTAAATTCAGCATCTAAAGTCTGATTAGACTGCCTGCTTTCTCCAGAGTCAATTCAATACTTGTCCTGAAACTGTTTTCAATCAATGCACACTGAAACTATATGCCCAACCCTGACAGTGCTCATGTACTTAAATATATCACAAGTCAGCGAATTAGACATCACTGAATTTTAAATGCACCATTACTTCATGTGCAAATAAGGAAAAAAAACCTCTACCAATTAAACTGACATTTTCTAATCATCTGACTATAAAATACAATTTCAGAAATAATATATTCTAACTGTATTTATAGTATTCAGTATAGAAACAATTAAATTATAGTGCATATTTAATATTAGGATACTGTAATCATTTTTAAGCTCCTGTACTAGTCAGCTATTTACAAACAACCCCATTTACTCTGATCCAAATGAGGGAGGTGATATTCCAATTTTACAACTAAGGAAACTAAGACTCAGAGAAGTTAGATAACTTGTCCAAAGTTAAAAAGCTCTCACAGTAAGATTTGGAATTTGAATTCAGGTATTTGATTTAAAAATTCATCCCCTTAATCCCTAAGGAAATGGTTCCCAATCTTTAGCGCACATCAGAACGATCTGGAGAACTGTTAATTAACACACACTTTGCTGAGTCCCAGCCCCACATGTTCTCTCTCATTTAGCAGGTTTGAGGTAGAACCAAAAATTGTGTATTTTTAACAAGTTCCAAGGTAATGCTGCTGAATACCACACTTTAAGCATTTGTTTACGCATTCATCTTTAAAAAAAAAATGTTAATGACATATCCTTTTTTATAGTTTATATATTTTTTTTCTTTTCTTCAAATGCATCCTGAAGCAATGCTCTCTCTATATTTAAAGCCATTGATAATTGTCACTGATGAATGGACTGAAAGCTAGAAGTAATACTAAGAATTACCAATGCAATGATTTAGAACAAAGTGAAGCAAATCAAGTGAAACGTATCAACAGTGCTAGAAATAAAACTGGCTTCCTATTAAAAAGAAAGTGTTAAATTCTTGATGCAAGTCATATTTCAATTTCCTACTTCATTTGAAAAGGAAATCTTCTAGGACTCAGAAGAATAAAAAGAACTGATCTGTAAAATGCCAAAACAATACTTTTGGCAGGACTGGAGAATAAACTGACTCAACAGGCACAACTCCAAATGAAACACCGCAAGAATTTTAGATGGAAAGAAGATTGGTTGTTTTTTTCCTCCAGAAAGTAATAAACATGTTTTACCACAAGTACACATGCATAGTGTTGACTATGTCTGACACATGATTTATCCACAGCCATTAATATAAAGCTCTCCTTTTTTTTATTGGCAAATTTACTCCTTGAAAAAAAAGTCCTCAGCTAAAACAGGAACTGAAACAATTAAGGTCATCTTTAAGATGGGGAAAAAACAAAAAAAACCAAGCACATATTTAGTTTATGTCAGTTTAGAAAATAAGAGCTAAGAAGTTACAGAATGAACTTAAAAACACTGTAATTCCAAAACATTTTATGCACTCATTTAAAAAAGATTAAAATGCCATCAGAGGTATCAGCATGCTCTAATGTAGATAATATAGGGTTTTATAATAACCCTCTTATAAAAGAAAAAATGTAAATGTTCATATCCTTTGATCCACTTTCAGAAAATTTTCCTATAGAAATGCTCAAATAAGTATGTAAACTATGTGGAAGTGCTGGTTCAATGTAGAGAAACCTGTATCTAAAACTCCGATTCCTCCAGAAACCCAATGAAATGTGTGGAAAATAAAAAGGCCAAATGAAAGACATCAGCAAATTTCTGTAAGATGGAAATGGGAGCAAAGAATAAGTAGAGGCGAGAAATCCGATCAGCAAGTTCCTGTAAGAGACACAACGTAGAAGGCAAGTTAATGCACGCCTCAGAATCCGGGCAGGGCTCAGAAACTGGAGGCAGTGGCACAGAAGGAAGGCTTGAGGCTAAAAATAGGAGGGTTATTACATGTTTGTATAAAAGGTTCTACAGCCAACTTCTCATCATCTTAAGAAGCAATGCGAACAAGGAGGACTCTAAATTCAGGAACACCAGGAACAGGAGACAGGAGCGAGAGAGAATGACAAGAATCATGGCAGCCAGCCAGATGTACTAAACCTACCTCCACCCTCTACTGATCTCCGACAGACTTCCACTCTCCAGCTGGAGGTCGCTGCGCTTGAAAAATTATATGTAGGAACCATTTGAAGCCTAGGATGAAGATACCTTTCTCCAGAGGGAAATTTAGTTAGCTTCTGCCAAGCACCTTGGGATGCTACTAATCTAGTACCACCTTAATCCAGGTTAAAGATGCGAGATTCATTGGACAAAGAGCAACAAACAAGGCTGCAAATCATGGCGTTTATGTAAAGAGGGCGGAGAGGAATATAAGCAGACTTCCCACTCCCCACTTTGGGCAGGTTTTGGGTTTTGTGCATAAACACTTTTACCCCACAAGACCACCAAAACTACTGCTTAATTTTACAAATGTTACTTCTGGATCAGCAAATGTCCTCAGGTCAAAAGTGGCTGCCAGAGCTAGGCTTAAGTCTCTGAGTTACCACATTCTCCTTGATTTTAGTCTAGAAATACCTCACTATCTTTTTAGCTCTTCAAAAGATGATTCTTTTTCTTTATATACCTCTCAGATTTTTAAAGCTGTACTTAGGAGAAAAGGTGGTCTAAGTAACGTAACATGTCAATATAGGAAGCAAACCTCTATACATTAGTTTGTTTCTGGAATTTGATATATTAGGTTATTCTAAAGCAAGTAATTTTATAGGAATGTGAAAAGTGTGAAACAATTAGAATCATCACTGATAGACTGAGTACTTCTGGAGATAAATCTCAATGAGACAAAATATTGAGTCGTCGGGAAAGTCATGACGTATTTTTCTATGTTTTTCAATGCAAAAATGTGTCATGACTTTCCCGATGACCCAATAGTATGTAACACATTGAACTTGCCTGCCTATATAAAACATATTATCATCATAAGATTTCTTATGTACTTGTATTAAAATACCCATGGAAGTGTGTACGCTTTAGTACACAGAGGCTGAGATTACAAAGTCATGAATAACAGCTCCAGTTCTTACTAATACACCAGTAGTTGAATCCAGAGACCCCTGAATTACTTCTTGGCGTTGTTAAAGAGGGATCCCTACGAAAATCATTGTAAAGCACTGTGCAACTCCAGAAAACTGAATTTTAGGACTAGGTTTGTTTTGAAGAAACCTAAATGATAAAGTCACAATGCTAGAAATGTAAAGCTTTCATATTTACAGTGGACCATATGAAGAAACCTTTTGAAAAATTTAGTACATCAAGATTTAGTACTTGAGAAGCAAAGAGTGAAAAAATAAAAGCCCCTTAAAAAAGTCTTTCTATAACTACCATTAAATGATTAATAAAATATAAGTTTTTATCAAGGTAAAATGAAAAGTCAGGTCAAATAAGAATATTCATATAGAAGATTGCTAAAATCAAAACTTTTAGGGAAAAAATGTTTTAGTATCCTAAATAATCTTGGTTTTGGAGCATATGACATTTAATGAGAAACCCAAGCTAATTCACATCCATGTATTTCAAAGATTATGCATCTAAGCTCTTACACAAGTTTCTTTTGTCTAGGTTTTAGACTCAGGTTTAACATTATCAGATATTTGAAAAAAAAAATCCAGCCAAATATAACACCCTTAAATCAGAAAATTCAATAGCATTTTAAAAAGTCAAAACAATTTATATTATCACATCAACTTTAAAATTTAATACTATCCAAGAAAAAATAGTCGCTCCAAGACATAAGAGAAATGTTAAAACATAAGCTTCTTCCATTTCTTTTCAAGAATACGGATATATTTGATAACATTAATACTTAAGGACACAACTAAGTTGTAAATTTATATGTAAATTTATAAATTTTTTTAATTAAAAAAAATAAATTTAAAATTTATAAATTATAAGTGTAAATTTATAAAATGATTACTAAGATGACAAAATCTGAACTCAAAAAAGATGCGGAAATACTGGACAGTATCTAACAATATAAATTTATAAAAGAACAATAAAGCAACACTTAAGTCTAAAAATAAATTGTACAAAATATAAGATGTGGAGAGCCATGGTTTAAGGTCAGCATACATGGGGAAAATAACTTATCTGATTGCAAGTTAATATGAAAATAGTATGGTACAGCTACCAAAAGTATTAATGTTACCTTAAAATGTATTAGTAAGTACAGTAACCAGAGTATGTAAGTGCTCCCTCACTAATCAGATCTCTAGGTAAAGTTTATTCTCAGTTCACGGTACTATTCTCTGTGACACCAACAAAACAGAACTTGTATAGAAGAGAGTAATACTGAATATGAATATATTTCACATGGGGAAGAGAAAGGTAATATACAACAAAAGTTTTTAAACATGTGAAGGGTGATCTTGTCAAAGGCAGTCTCTGACTCTTGGTGTAAGAATAAGGACCAATCAAAACTTACTATTTAGATATTGACTCAAAACAAAACTAGAGACATGCAGTAATTGACGAGACTAGTTCATTTTCAAAAAGACCAGATCATCCATCTAGAAAAATATACATTCCTGCATCAGATAAGGGTGGGTTAAAGACAGTAATAGCATGGTACTACTTTGAGCTCTGGAGCTGGACAGACCATATAGTTTCAAACTTTAGTTTCACCACTTATTAAGCATGTGAGCATGGACAAGTTACTTAATCTTTCTTGGTCTTACTTTCCTAATTTGTAAAACAGGGACAACTCCAGTTTTAAGGATTTAAAAGAATTAGTAATATATATATATATATATATATATATATATATATATATATATATATATATATATATGTAAAAAGTTTAGAGAAGTCCCGGAGCAGAGTAAAGAGTCAAGAAAGCTAGCTATATTAATTTTTGCATCCAACAGATATTTACCAAGCATTTACTATGTGTTAGAAACTAATTTAGCACCAAGGTTTTAAGAGAGTTTGTAATTAAGTCTTTGCTGTAGTGACTACGGCATAAACAGGTACATGATATGGGAGGTCACAGTAAGATACACATAAAGCTGGATAAAGAGAATAAAGTAAGTGATTCTTGCTATTTAAAAAAAAAGTATGGTCAAGCAAGGATATTTTGATATGATGACATTTGAAAAATACACGAATGCTATAATAAGGCAAGCTAAGACAGTATTTCAGGGAAGAGATTTTGAGGTGACACAACAAGTAAGTTCACCTGGCTGGAGGAGTAAAGGCAGTGAGAAAAAGTGAAAGGCCACATCTACAGAGCTCTTCCAGTACTGTTAAGGACATCAGATGCCTTTGAACTCTCAAAAATATGAATACAGAGAGATCCAATCAGGCTGATATTTATTACTACATCACATACTCAATCCACCACATGAAATAATAAAGAAGCACTAAAATTGCTAACAATTCTAGAAGTACCTATTTATTCAGTTGAAATAAGAAATAAATGGCAAAAGTAAAATTATTGGGCCATAATTCTTCTATATCTCACACCAAAAGAAACACTAAGTAAACTGAAGATAGAAATTTGCTACCTGAGAACAGGACAGAAAACAGATAACAGGTGAATGAGTTTAATAAATAATAATGATATTCCTTGTAAAAAACCAAAACTAGAATTGCATTGTTTATGTATTTAAAACCATATTAAGTATAAAGTTTGTGTATTAAAAATCTACATTATAAACTATTTAAAAGTTGACTTCGATATAAGAATTACAAAATGTTCTTTTAAAAAAAGAACAATGAGAGGAAAATGACACGATGAATATTAAAATATTTACTCGGTGCTTACTGTGTCAGGTACTATGCTGAGTACCTAAGTGGTTCACATGTATTAATTAGCTCATATAATTCTCTCAAAATAAAAGCTTAGTGAGTTTAAACTTTACCCAAAGTCAAAGCTCCTAAGTGACAGGACTGAATTTCAGAAAAGCCTGACCTGAAAGCTTGAGTTCTTCACCACCGCGTCATATTGCCTCTGCTTTTAGTCACAATGAGTCTTGCAATCTATTTTATTCACTCAGCAAAGTATTATTAACCTTGCAGGAATTGGCTATTCCTATATATTTGTTCAATTTTCAGTAAATCAGATTACCACATTTAGATCTCTAAGTGTTACATTTAAAATGCAAGCTACTTATCAGTGCTACATACCATATTCTTGAGTAATTAAAAAATGAAGGCATAAATAACCACCAAAAAACTTCACCAAGAAAAAGGTACATCTTAAAACATGTTTTTTCTTTTCTATTCATAGCTCAAAAGTTTTAGGGTCCCAAATTCAAAAGTTTTTCAAAAACCAGATAGGTATTATACACACAGGCTCATCTAATATAAATCACCGTAACACTGGAATGTTTATTTTTAAAAGGCTTTAAAAAATTATTTAAAATGCTGTTAATGTATTTTTTCTTAATTTTTATTTTTTAGCTGAGCCATCCTGCCGCCTGTTGGCAGCTCAGCAACAACTTGGGCAGGGAATCAAACTGGCAGCCCTGTTGCTCAGAGCTCGCACTCTTGAGCTGGCTCTTAACTAACTGAGCCACTCAGCCGGCCTGAATGCTGTTACTTTAGCTCTTTTACATCTTCATTAAAGTGGTAAGCATTCTGAAGGTATTTTTCATCCTGTTTAAAAGGGCATAAGATAATTTAAAAAGATTGCTTAATAATAAGAACATTAAGCTTAATAATGTTTATATTATAATCTGTGGAAAGTAATACATTCAAACTACACTTAAACAAACGACTCTGGCTGTAATTTTGAACATTCAAGAAAAGCATCATGGTACAACAGAATGAAGACTTGACCAAAAGTCAAGAAATCTGAGTTTCGGTGCCCTTTAGCAAGTCAATTCCCCTCTCCAGGCTTTCAGTTTTTCCACTGGTAAAACAGAGAACAAAACAAAGATGTCATTGAAAGACCACATTAGCTTTATAAATATCATTTACATATGAGAATTTTCATGGCAGGTTAAACTAATTAACATTTTAGCCTTGCTATTCATTTTCTTGAAATGTTTTCCAGGAATTAATGTTTATAAGCTAAAAGTGATGACTGTATTACCTTAAGTTCAGCAACTTGCGATGAAATATGCCACATAAGGCTTTCGCTTAGGAACTTCATACCATATGGGCCTAGCAGTTCTGATAATGACCTCATTTCTGAAAGGAAATGTAATTAATTTTATACTTTAAAAGAATACTTTAAGAAACTGAACATTAACACTGAAACATTCCATTATAGAAGCAAATTATTAATGCAAAAATCCGGAGAAAAAAGTCTCTAGACCAGCGGTTCTCAACCTTCCTAATGCCGCGACTCCTTAATACAGTTCCTCATGTTGTGGTGACCCCCAACCATAAAATTATTTTCGTTGCTACTCTATAACTGTAATTTTGCTACTGTTATGAATCGTAATGTAAGTATCTTTTTGTTTTCCGATGGTCTTAGGCGACCTCTGTGAAAGGGTCGTTTGACCCCCCCCAAAGGGGTCGTGACCCACAGATTGAGAACTGCTGCTCTAGAGTAAAAAAAAATAAAACAAATGCAAAGGTAAGTCTAAGATATAATGTATAATTATGCATATAATTGAATGAAAGTAGGCATAATAGAATTGAAAACCAAAGAATATTTCTTCATTTTCTAAAACACGTCATAGTATTATTCACCTGATATGTCAGAATATTCCTCTGCATTGAATGTTAATTCATTTTCTGTAGGTAAGTTCACAAATGCTTTCATTGCAGGGAAATAAGCTATATGACCATTGCTGACTTGTCTTAATAAAGTTTCCAAATACCTAAGGAGAAAAGTAAATTTACAACCAGGAGAAATTGTTTAATTCAAAATTTATTACAGTATACATTCCTGTGTATAAGTTCAAATTGGCTGATAACATGAACAAACACGTATCCATAAAAATATTACTTTCCCAAGTAGTTCACTACAAAGAAACTTTACATCACTCCAAATTTCTAAAGGTGTTCCTTACCAATTTGTGTATAGACTTGTAATGGTTGGCTCTCCATGACTGTCTAAATGTTGTGTTTGTTGAAGAAGAACATTATTAAATACTCTTGTAATATCAATTTGCACATAGTTTTCTATCGACTGGAGTACAGTCATGTATGCTCTTACACTTGTTAGAAGCTCTGATGGTTTTGCAATTTCCTGTGTGGCTTGATTATACATAGTCATTCCAACAATTGACCTGGGGAGAAAAAGAATAAGAAAAGAGCTCTGACTTTTGCATTTATGTAAATAGGTCATTCAACCTACTGATCTCTAATGTTAAATAAGCAATAAAATTCATTTCAAGTACAATTTGCTATTTAGCCATGAAATTACTATCATTATCTTAAAAAAAAAAAAACACCTAAAAAAAGAATGAATACCTAAAAGCTACAATGATAGGAATGTCAAGTGATTACAAAAATTCTAGACATCATGATTTAAGGAAAAATTCCTTTAACATGATATGTTGTCTGTACCAAGTACAATGACTATTTAGACCACAGCATGAATTCATTTGGCACTGTTACATGCTAGTTTTTTAGGCTTTACATACATTACCTGTAATTCTCATATTTAATCACACTACTATGTAGTTATTATTACCACCATTTCACAGATGAAAAAAATCTAAGGCTCAGAACTCACGTAAACTAATCAAGGTCACTTTGGAATTGGTGGGTCTAGGGTTTGACCCCACATCTGACCGACTTAGCAAAAGGTACTACAGTCAAAACATGGCAACAAACAGAAAACTTAACTGTTATTTAATCACTCACAGCACATTACACACAGTTCTTTTTGGTTTATACCCCAAGAACCTGTATAAGCCTAAAGAGAAACACAAATTTTGAAAATACTTTCCTACATGATCTTTTCCTACATTGGTCACCCCTATTTCAACATCTTTAAAACTCCCTGAGCATTGAATTTGTAAAAGCTCTTAGACTTATATTTGAAAGGAAGAATTCTTAAAGACAATAGACAAATTTCATCACTACAAACACCCCAACAAAGACCAACTCACGATGAAAATGCTATCCTTACATATGGTCCTAAGTCTTAAAATTGTGCTCAAGTGACCAACTAAAGTCAACCAACTAATACTCAAGTTATTTGTCCTGGTATAAATATCATTCCCAGGTAAACAAGTTTACAGCCTTGCCTTGATCCTGATCACTAAGTAGATGTTTGGTAAAAAAGAACATCTGCTTCTCCATGGATTAATGGACTAGACTACACATTTACAGAAGGAAAACAAGGGAGCTGTATATCAAACCCTACTTTCCACCCACCACTCTATTAACACCACCTAGTTGAGAATAATAAATATCAGAGGGCATAATGTCCCTTTGGTGTAAATACTAGAGCATTCTGGGTTTCACTGTGAGGATGCTTGCCTTTTACAAAGGAGAGCAAAAGACAGACTTTGTTCAACACTCACCTCTTCTCTAGTCATCTGATGAATTAACACTCAATTTAGTGCCCACTTACATATTCTACTATTTTATTCTCTAATTGTTGTGGTCTTCTCACCAACTACAGCTCTAAACTTTATCATTTCATCACTACTCAGCATAATGTTACGCATATGGTAGAAATACTACTTGTTAATAACTACAAAACTGAAATAGCTTTGGCAAAATTTTATTTTATAAATTGCTTTAAGACTTTCAAGACGAACTTGTCCAATCAATATTTTCTTCATTAAGTGTGCAAGTTTAGAAAAAGGATTAAGAAACATTTGTAAAGCTGAAAGGTGTCTGATTTATCACATGTAATATTATTTCAAATATATATAGTAAATATATATATAGTAAATATATATATAGTAAAAAAATATATATATATGTATATATATATATAAAATAAATTTAATCAGAATCGAGTGCCTCAAGGGTCTAGAATTTTACTGGCATAATAGCATACATCTGAATCCAGAAAAGATGTAAGCGTTCATCTAGTCCTGAGGTTTTCAAACATGTGAATGTGGTCCTCTGTACGATATGCATCCAGTATCACAACTCAATACACACATACATATTCATAATTGAAAAGTTTCATGAAGCAATATTTATACTTACTACATTCAACGCACTGATTGTTTTCCTATTTTTCTTTCTTTCCTTTCCTCCCTCTTCTTTCTTTAAAATGTTTACTACAACCTTCTAAACTGATTTCATGACCCTACTGGATTGTCACCTGTCAGCTGAAATACACTGATTTGTTCCAATCTTCTTATTTTGCTTATAAGGAAGCTAAGGTCCACAGAGATTAACCAGCTTGTCCAGTGTTAAACTAGTTAATATTAATAACAAGTATGGGACAAGAATATGGGTAATTTAGGTAATTTCCAGTTCACTATTCTTTATACTTCGCAGTTCATTACTCTTTATACTACACCAGTTCTACTGTTTTTTCTTAAAAAGGAAACAATGTATAGATTATGAAGACTAAATATAACAAACTCATTAACTAAACCAACAAACAAAAAAGTTTACATTTTTTTCTTACTTAGTAAAGCGGATTTCCAGATGAGAAGTCAAATATTCTCGTGGGGTAAAGGTATGTTCCCAAACCACCATGTTTGGTACATAATTTATAGAGAAACACAACTCAGAAAGTGCAGTGTGCAATTTATCAAGGCTGAAAAAAATATTAATAAACAGTAAATAAAATGTTCAACATTTCTTTACAGTAATACAAAATTAATTTTATAAAGACATCAGACCTTATTTGGGGACAATAACTACAGAATTCAACTTCTTTCCTAAACTGACAAAGTTCAAAATCTTTAAGGATGTCAGTAACACATGAGAGAAATTTTCTGAAGATAGTTTGATTCACGTTTCTACATTAAATACCTATTTACTTAATATACAAGTAAGAGTTTATTTCACAATCATAAAAACCATCATTTCTAATGCTGACTTTACTGTCTGTTGTGAAGGAAGAAAGTTGTCTACAAAATGGCAAATACTTGCTCAATGTAGGAAACAAGGAAGTAGGAAATTTACTTAAAACAAAATAATGTTTAGCCATTATTGCCCACCTATGCCCCGTCTCCAAACAAAGAGCTCTCTGAATGTTACCTAATTCGGATAAATCCATTTTAAAATAATGATATCATGTATGTTCTAATACATGACAATATGCCAAAATAAAGTCTCAGATATCTGAGTTTAAATACTTTGAAAATAAATGATTGTTTATAGTGTACCCCCTAAATTTTTAGACAGATCCTTGGCCTTTGGTATTCTGTATATAAAGACAATATTATCTATTACACTTATTTTCTTCAAAAATCCAAAATCTGTATTTTGGGATAAAATAATCACTAATGGGCTAATCAAGTTCACAAAGGTTAAAAAAAAATTAATGACTGGGAAATGAAGACTTTACAATTACTAGCATGTCCTTAGTACTAACGCCATACAAAAAAATGAACACCCATAACCCAAAGATGTAATAAAAGTGGATGGCTTACTTGGTCACCACCAGCCGGTTTTTCCGCATGCTCTCAACTCCTGGTTTTTCCCTTTCAGGTTCCCCTTTCTTACCAGTTTGTTTTTTTGACTTCTTATTCACTGCTTGACTAATGGTTTTGGCACAATGCTTGGGCAGCAACTAAATTTAAAAAGAATAATATCTTACATTATACCAATTACTTGGAAAAACATTAGAGAAATAAACCTTAGCTGAATCCAGACTATGTAGGACATATCATGCTAGCACTAAGAACGGTGGTGCAAGTAAAAAGTAGAGTTTACCTAACTAGCTTGCTTAAGGAGCCCATAGAGCTTGGCGGAACAGAGAATCTCATGTGAAGAAAACACTTCATAGAGGAAGTTATATCAAGACTGCAGTTTAAAGGATAAGTAAAAACAGACTAGGCAAACAAAGAATGAGAAAGAACATGTTGCTGGAAGGAAAATGGCCTATGTTAGACATGATGTGTTCAGAATCTAGTGAGAACTACTAGGAGATGGAGCATAAAGAGCAGGTAGGATAGAGAGGTTTGAGCTACCAGGAAGAGGCTTCAGTGCCAAGACGGGGTTGGATTTTAAACTCTAAGTAAACCTAAAGACAGTAGCAATTTTCAGAAAACCTAACAGTGGAGTTTTACAACGAGAGGTAATGAGATTTACTGAGTTTGAGAATAAAATAATGAAAAATATAAAAACTGACTAACAGATAATTTTTTTGCCTTCCTACACATGTACTGTCTGCAAGGAAACATATAAATTGTTACCTGGTCACTAAGAGTACACTGTTCTGTGCAAATATCAGTGATGAGATTTCGAGCCTGTTTGGCCATTTCATCCAGGAACATATTACACAAGGAAAGACTGCGATCTCCAATATGATGTCGCTGTAAAAGCAAAATAATAATAAAAGTTATAAGAAAGTAATTTGAATTAAAACACTTTTAAAATAAACATGGAAAATAAAATTAGTCTCTTCTACAAGGAGTGGGGGTGAAGGGTGTTATAGATTTTTTTTTAATCTCGTATTATCAACTAACCTACCACACTGTAGAATTGACATAAGTACTTGGTGATCATACAAGCAACGTATGATTGGAAAGAAACCTTAAAGGACAAGTATTCTCCTTAACATGGGAAACTACTAATTTAATTTTCAAACTCCACAAGGTCCTTATAAAACATAAAATGTGAAAGAATACATTTATTTAGAGTAATGTTTTCTAATCTTATCTGACTCTCACACACACACACACTCACACACATCTTGATGTATCAAACAACTTTGCAGAGTATAAACAGAAAAGAAAAGCTACTTAAATAAAATTGTTAGAAATCAGTCAGTAAAACAAATAAATTCACAAGGCACTCAATTTCCTAAAATCAAACTGTCTCCAACCCTCGATTCTGGAAGAGAAAAACAGCTGACCATGAATTTTCTGAACATAATGGGGGGAAAAGAGGATTAAATTTTTAGAAAATTATACCTGTATATGTAGACACACATACCCAAATTCATCCACCTCTATTTACTGGATTCTATATATTTTTAGTTTTGGTGGGTTTTATAATAGTTTAATAGGTTTTCCTTGTCAATGGTAACTGTAGTGTTGAGTATATACTATAAAATTTTGCACTATACATTTGTAAATCTTTACCAAGAGATGTTTAAAAAAGTTCTTCCCTAATTATAAAAAACATACACAGCGATAACATACATAATTTTTACGCTGCTGAAATAAATGTAAGACAATATAAAATATAAAAATACTTAAATATAAAAAATAACTATTCCTAAGTCTATCGTACCTTACAATGTATTTTATTTAAAATGTCCTTTAAAACTTTAAAAGGGATCTACAGGCTAGATACAATTAAAGATTGGTTCACTTTACTTAAGGAAACATTTCAAATTATAAACATGTAGGTTTTTGTTTAACCTAATTCTGACTCCTGCAAGATAAAACATATCTCTTACTATCACTTCTTCCTGAAAAAAATACCGAACTAGCAAGTTTATTAGACTAACTTATTTAAAATACAGATCTGATTTTACTACTTCCCTTCAATGGCTCAGAAATGCCAAGACTGGAAAAACCAAACAAGTAAGGTTTCTTAACATGTCACAGTCTGTCTGTGTATGCTCTGCCTTCTGCCTCTAGCAGCAGTGCTGAGAACAGGCTTTAAGACAACGGCAGAAGCAGAGGGATCTCTTACGAGAGTGTAACAATAATCCAGGCAAAAGATGATGTGTTTGGACAGAGAAAAGAAGAGGTAAGAGTCTGGATATATACATATAAAGGTAGAGCCAAAGACAGAAAATGCTCCAAGATTGGTGGTGGGTAACAAGTGGAAGATCAATAGTTCTATTCTAGACATGTTACATTTAGGATGGCTAAAAATACCTAAGTTGTAGCAGGATATAAAGAAAATCTACAGTTGAAGGGAAAGGTCTAGGCTGGAGAGATCAGCATATGGGAGATTTTTAAACAATGAGACTGGAAAAGATGAGTAAACTACTATACTGGACGGTACAGAAACATCAACACAATCACTAGTTTCCCATTAGTACTGACTGCAATTATCCAGGGATCCTGTGACCCAGCAGGGTGCATATTTCAAATTTAATTAAAAAGTACTGTCTTTATGCAAATTTATTTTAAGTACTCCAGTTCAAAAATGAGGCCTCAGCATCAAGAAGTTGTTCTGGAGGCTTTTCCTATAATGCCTCTGATCTAAATAAAATGAAAGGCTACAACTATAATTATAAAACCAGACTGCAATGAGAACTACACATACCAGCTTAGTCTGTGCTCACTTCTGGTAAATCCCCTCAGTGCTCCCAGAGTACCCCACGCATATTCTTACCACAGCACAGATTATCAGATCACAGATTTGTCAAGGTAAGGATTATGTCTTTGCATCTTTTTATCACAGGATTTAACAAGGAAGCTGGTAAATAAGTCTTTAACAAATTAGCTAAATGAAAAACAGAACAGTGCCACTTACTAGCTACATAACTATAGAGAGGGAAAAAAATTAGTCCACTAGAGACTTTTCTTTCACTAAACTAAGAATAATTATCAGCAGTACTATGTTTTCACTTTGTCATAACAATCAAATGCAAAAAAGGTTAGAATGATGTATAAATTTTACTTTTCTATATAAATGTAAACACATTATTAATTACCTTTTGTAATTGTTTAATAAGAATTGAGTATTACCCTATTCAGGAACCACAACTTTACCAGTTAAATGGTATAAGGTAGATAGATAATGATAGATGTAACAATGATATAAAGTACTATTAAAATATGGTAAAGGAGGGACAAATTCTAACTGGAGGAATGCTGAAAATCTTTTTGGAGGTAGTATTTAAGCTGACCATTGAAGAAAAGCTAAGGGTACAAGAGGCAGAAGTGCAGTGAAATACATTTTATGTGTGAGGAAAAGCCTTTCAGAGGCCAAAACGTGGACAAGTAAATTAATATGGTTTACATGAGGTAGGCTAGTTATAGCTAGTATGGAGTGGAAAGTTGAAGATAAGAATGAGGGTAGAGTCCATGAACAGATAAGTGGATAAACAAAATGTGGTATATACAAACAATGGATTATTCACCCATAAAAAGGAAGTTCTGATACATGCTGTAACATAGGTGAACCTTGAAACATTATGCTAAGGGAAATAAGCCCGACACAAAAGGACAAATGTTGTATGATTTGACTCATATGAACTATCTAGAATAGGCAAACTCAGAGAGACAGAAAGTAGACTAGGGGAGTGATGGGGGAATTACTCCTGCCTAATGGTCACAGGGTTTCTGCTTGGGGTGAAGGTTTTGGAAATATATCATGTTGATGGTTGTACAACACCGTGAACGTAATTAATGCCATGAACTGTACATTTAAAAATAATTGAAATGGCACATTTTTATGCTTTATATATATATATATATATATATATATATATATATACACACACACACACACACACACACACACACA